GGGTTCACAGGACAAGATCATATCCGTCTGCCTCCAGACTTACTGTTCTTACGCCACTTGGCAGCTGTAACTTTGCCTCAGCCAACTGAATTCGCTTATCCCACGTGTACTCTCTGCACGCCATTCCAAATGCCGTCCCTTCCTGCTCAGCCCATGAATTTGTCCCTACAATTTTGAGTTAAGAAATTAAGCAACTCTCTGTGTTGGCCTGGCAGCTTCTGTTGGTCTCCGAGCTCCGGTTTAAGCTGGCTGGCTTCAGGGCAGTGACCGACTCCCAAATTGTCTCCCTTGCTTTTCTGACAGGTGCTGAAAGATATCACGGACCAAGAGGTGTTGGTCAAGAAGCCCAACTCTGCTGCTTCCCTGCTCATGAGAGACGAGGAGTCCCAAGAGAACCAGATGCCGTTTGTAAAGAGAAAGAAGAGAGTTCTGAGCAGCAACACCAGCTTTTTCTCAGGTTGCACCCCCATCAAAGAGGAGTTTGACTGACGAGGTGGTGCTGGGCTGCTTTAGACCACGTTGCTGGTGACTTGAAAAAAGTGTTGGGTTCCCTTGCTGCAGCAACAGCCTGAATCCTGTCGTGCCTGACAGCTGCTGGCATCAGCAAGGGGTCAAACACTTGTTCTTCCTAGGTTGTGTCCAATTCTGTGTAAATATTTGTGTGTGGGGGTCTTGGGCCTTCTCTTCCTCTGAAATTTCTGTAGTGAGGTTGCTCATCCCAGCTGCCTTCCTCGTCCTCAGCTGTGAACACGTTGGGTACAGTTTAATCCGTGATCTTGAAAGAACTTTGCACTTGCGCTGGAAGTCTGGGTCCTGCCTCTTGCCATACAGCATGAGGAGCTCTTCCAAGCTGCTGTGAGAGATCCCCTGGTGCTTGATCTCGAGGAGGGCACTGTCTGTAGTCTTAAATGGATCCAAAATAGTCGGTGTTCCGGTGCCCTTTGGGGCACTGTCGGTCCTTGTTCAATGAAGTTAGAAACTTGCTAGCCATATGTGAATATTGTAGTCATTTTAACTTAGTTTTGTAGCTTTAATAAAGTACCTACTAAAACCCCTGACTTCTAATTTTGCATTATTGTGTTATAATGAACTCTGCAATTAAAACTGGTCTGAAACTGTAGCCCTTGCTGCCGGTAGGACTCGCTCTAGCTCCTCTTCTGTCACACCTTACTCAAAAAGCAGGCAGCCCAGCCTGGCTACCGCTGCTTTCCTTTCCCCTTGTTGCTGCTCTGTCCTAATTTTTGAGTCACAACACAAAGAAAAAGTGAGGCTTGCTCCTCCAGCTGTAGTTTCTTTGGTTTTTTTGTCCCCTCCAATGGTAACGCTCACTTGCAGATGCTGCAGGAGCGCTGAAGTGAGCGCTCTGGGTTTAATCTTCTCAGGCTTGGTGCAAGAGAAGATTATGAAGTTAATGATTGTGTGGCTGAGCAGGCTTGTCGTTAGTAACTGGAACTGCAGGGCTTGCGCTGAAGTGAGCGCTCTGGGTTTAATCTTCTCGGGCTTGGTGCAAGATCATGGTAATGAGTGTGTGGCTGAGCAGGCTTGTCCTTAGTAACTGGAACTGCGGGGCTTCTCCTGAATAAAATTAGTACTGCTCTGGCTGAGCACTTGAACCTTCCCTTCCCTCTGTTGTACAAGCTTGTTCCTCTTAGGAGGCCCGGTCAGAGCAGGGCTCCTGTGTGTTTGTGGTGGGATTTGGTGCATCCTGGAGCTCTCACTGCTGGACCCATGCTAGGAGCTCCCTCAGGTACAGCCAAGTGGTGCCTACGGAGACTGCAAGCCGAGACCAAGCCCACGCAGTCACACATGGTCCGCTCTGAGAAGAGCTGCCGGGTGGCTGCTCTTCTAACTTCACTCATCTTTTTCTCTCCAAACATATAAAAGCCCCTGATCATTGTAAAATGGTTTGTTTCAAAGTGATTTAAACAAGCTTGTGCCTTGTGAGTACCCCCGGCCTCCTCCCACAGACCTTCCCCTCCTCGGGGCAGGGGTTTAGAAACTCCCAAGTTGGGATCGTTCCATAGTTGAAGAACAAAAGCAACAAATTTTCGTGCAGGTGAAACGCAAGCTGACAAATGCCTGTGGTTTAAGCAAACTGGTTCTGCTCGTAGCCAGGATTAGGACGTAATTCACCCCTGGGGCTGGGAGCTGCGTGCTGGAGGAGGCCGGGGAGCGGCCGAGGCCCCAGGTCTCCCCTTGCCTTTCCCAAGCGCTGCTGCCTCGGTGGTGGCCGAGCAGCTGCCTGGGACTGCAGCCTGCTCTGACCAAGGGCTTTGTGAACCTGGTCGTGCCGAGCCAGGCCGAGCTGTGCTGAGCCATGCTCAACTCTGCCAAGC